AATAAAAAATATTTCTTCATTGTTGCCCAAAACAAATGTCCCAACCCAATTACAAAAAAAAGGGCCGCCCATCCTCAGATTGCCCAATTACAAAAAAAAAAAAGGATGAGCTGGGCACCTGTTGCGGCCCAAGTTCAAAACAAAACAGAAGAAAAAAAAAAGCACAAGGAAGAAGACGAATCAAAAGGCAAAAATCCAGAAAATCAGGCGCCGATGTGATCTCTCTCTTCTTCCAAGAACCGTTCCGGCGGAGCCCAGCACGTGCGGCCCCCGCCCGGCCGGGTGTTTGGTCCGCCGCTGGATGGGAGTGCCTTCATCGTCACCGCTATTGTTGGCATTTAAGAGAACTTGTCTATCTCTATTTATTTTTTCTCGGTTCTTTAAAGGTTCTTGTTAGGTGGAAATGGAGTTTATGGGAATGGGAAAAATGGGATCAACGGAGGTTGATGAGGAAAATAGCGCTGTTGTGAGGTTGAGGCTGGCCAAAAATATTTATCCAATGTCAACCCTTAACTCGTAATCCACGCATGGATCAAACCCCATTTGCCTTGGTTAGTGAGTTACAACCACCACATCTGAGCTATAGCTACATACGTTTCAGTCATTGCCATCGCCTCATTTCCTCTACCTTCGCTAACCGTATTTTCTCTATTACCATCAACTTCATTTTCTCCTAACATTTAAAAATCTGGAAAGACATATATAAAGGTAGATAAGTTTTCTTAAATTCCAACAGTAGTTGTGACGGTGGAGGCTCTCTCATCTACTATGCACAGCATGGGGTTGTGTGGACTAGGGGTTCCACGTTGGGGATTGGTGGATTGAGGATGATGAATATTTTTATCAATTAACAAATTTTGAATGGAAATAATTAGAGGTCCTTTCATAGCATATTTATTAAAAGTTTGGGATGTCCACGGCATATATTTAGGTTTAGAACCTTCGATGCAAATTTTTCTTTTTTAATTAAGGGTATGTTTAACACCCATTTTTTGAAGATAATTTTTTTTTAGAATAGTGATTGATGGGAGAATGTGTGGTGGAAAATTTATGAAAAATTTTAGATTTTTGTGTAATATTATTTTATTGAGAGAATGTGTGGTTGAAATGAAGAAAAAAAATGAGAATGAGATAAGAATGGGTGCCAAACAGGGGCTAAATATACACAACATGACATTTATTANAAAATGAGAATGAGTGCCAAACATGGACTAATTAAAGTTTAAAATTTCATTTTACCCTTTTAAAATTGGTCGAAATATAATCAAACACTTAACTTTTGATCAACTAATAAGCCTTTGAACGATTTCCATCCAAAGTTCTTTCTGTCGTACAATTTTTAAAGGTTGACCTTCTTTGCTATAATTTTGAATGTTTGAGTGTAATCTGCACATTTCTAAAAAGTATGGAACATCCACTGCCAATTATCCCTATAATTCACTCGATTGGAACGTGCAATTAAAATTCAGAAATAACAAGCATGTGAATGATCTAGATTGTCGTGACACCAATTGTTGGAATGCCGAATAGGAATTACTCAAAAAAAAAAAAAAAATTAATCCAAGAATTTAATATCGTTACCGATGGTCACATGTATGTTACGAGTTTAGAATTTACTCAAATTCAATAATCAATTCTTGAACTAGATCTGAATGATGAACTTTTAACTTTCTAGATCATGAATTTTTAGATTTTAATTTCAAGAACTTGATGTTTCAAACCTTCAATCTTCCGTAGTATTTTCAAAGTAAGGATTGCACATTCTTTAAATTAGATTGAAAAACAAATTCTAAACTGGACGAATCAAGAAAAAATCAATAAAATAAATTTCTAAGTTTCTCTCTAGAAATTTGTTGTTCACGTTTTTCCACGAATGAATTCAGACCCCACTTCAAAAGTATAGATGCAAAAATTCAAAGTCCAAGTCCAAACAAAATTAGTAAATTAGGCCCCAATTTTGTGTAATTGCACATGTAGCCCCTGAATTCTATTGTAATTGTAGTTAAATCAAAAACTTTCAATGTAATTACACTTGAGTTCAAAAAATTTTGAGCTACGATAGAAACCTACTCGGGCATATATTATCTAAGTTCCAAAAATTATATCATGTTTAATCGATTCTAGATCACCAAATTTAGTTATTTGTCTTAGCTTTTTCAATAAAGACAAAAAACAACACTTTTGAAATATATAAAATAACAAAAGCTAATATGTAAGTATATATGTATGTGTGTGCGCGCTCGCTCGCTCGCACACACACACACATATATATATATAATACTTTCTATGACCTATCGTAAATCATCCATTTGAGATCTGATAATTAGGTACATACAAAATTGATATTTTGCTCATCTACTTAAGTATCATTTCTTACCACGGTCCTATAATAAATATCAAACTTTAGTCATCGCTAAATACTGAATTTAAATTTTAACCGTTGAACAAAAAATATTTAAATAGTCACTTTATCCCTTTTTTTTTTTAGAATGATGGTTCTGTACACGAATTTATGTTTTCTACTTCGCTCATTTTCAAGTTCTTAAATATATGTGATCAATGAAATTGATCTTACTCATTAGAAATCAAATAACCATTAAATTAAATGATATACATAATCTCTGTCAAGTATTTGGATGAAACACCAGACGATCAATTGGCATTTAATTTTTCTGCACGATAAGATTTATTTGTATTTTTGAAAAATTATGATATTCAATATGTAACATTTTCTTATTTTTTGTTTTTTATGTTTATTTATTCAAAGAGAAGTGCTTATCCATCATTAATGCCAAAATGGACCAAAGGGCGATTTTTGTTACGTAATTGAAAGGTTGAGATTAATTATGCTAATAGAAAAGCTGAGGTAGATTTGTTACATTTAATAAAGATTGAGGATGAAATGTGAAAAATGTGCCATTTTTAAATCAAATTCAAACCACAAGTTGTGTAAAATACAGAAAAGTCTCCTTCCTGTTCACCATGGAAATCGAGATCCAGACCTTCATCAAGGTATGGTTTACTGCAGTTACAGCTCTATTTTACTGCTACTACATCGCCTCCCGCCTCCCCGGTGGCGCCACCAGGTTAATCTCTCTCCTTCCCGTCTTTTATCTCTTCACAGCCCTCCCTCTCCAACTCTCCTCCTTCCACCTCGGCGCCCCTACCATTTTTTACCTTGTTTGGCTTGGCAACTTCAAGCTCCTCCTCTTATCCTTCGAGCAAGGCCCTCTATCCTCCACCCCACCTTTGTCCCTCCTCCATTTCGTCTCCATAGCTCTTCTCCCCATTAAAACCAAAAATTCAGTTTCAAATTCCAAAGTCAATAAACCAGTTGTTTTTGCGCTTAAGGTTGCCCTTTTGGCTATTTAACAAGCATATATGCGCATATCCCTCATATATGTAGGCATATATTAGAACCGAAACATGACAACGGTACAAATAGAACCTCAACTTGACCAAAATCGGTAATGTCGTCAAGGCCACTCCCGGTAAGAACCTGACCTAGACCTCGGTGTCAAATTGCTCGGTATAAACCGGTGTAGTGACGTTCTGAAAACCCCGGCATGATGGAACCTCATGGTCACCAGTATTCTACGCCCCACCGTATACCATCCTGTACAGCGTATTTCTACGCGTATTTTAGGCAGCAGGTGGGCCCGGCCACCGGCAATCTTGGCTACATTCTTGGTGTCTGGTCTGATGCATGAGGTCATTTATTATTATTTTTCACGTGCATATCCTACTTGGGAAGTAACATGGTTCTTTGCTCTACATGGGATATGTGTAACCGTTGAGGTGGCGGTGAAAAAGGCGTTGGGCGGCCGTTGGCGGTTTCACAGGCTGGTTTCGGGGCCGTTGACGGTGGCGTTTGTGGGAATCACCGGCGCGTGGTTGTTTTTTCCACAGGTGATTAGGTATGGTTTAGACCAAAGGGCCATAAGCGAGTATTCAATTTTGGTACAATTTTTATGTGAAAGGCTGCAATACTGATTACAAATATGTTTTGTTTTGAGAAAATAATGTTTTAATTACAAATAAATTTTGATTTTTATATATTTTGTATTATTGCATATATTTGATATTGAACATAAGAATTAAAAATAACCAAGATCACTTGTGATAATATGAGTTACATATTTACAATGAGAAGTACGATGTGACAACTTAAATATATTTGTTCACGATCATTGTATAAACCATGAGGGTTGATGATTTATCCTTATATCAGAAATAGTTAAAAGTGACACTAGTATACTTAGGTCTTGTTTGATCTACATTCTTCTCAAAATACATTCTATTAAAATTCATTTTTAACTACACATTTTTCAATAAAATAATACTACACGCTACTTTCCCACCAAATCATCATCTAGATATCCACCATGTCTCGTTTGTGAGTAAGATGCACTACGTCTCTTCGATAATAAGGAAGGATGCTGGCAATCTTCCATCTCAACATCCAAGTGAGGGGGTCTTTCACGTGATTTTCAATAAAATAATATTACACGCTACTTTCCCACCAAATCATCATCCACATATCCACCATGTCTCGTTTGTGAGTAAGATCGTGATGCAGAGAAGCTATTATTCCCAGGATGCTGGTAATCTTCCATCTCAACATCCAAGTGAGGGGGTCTTTCACGTGATTTAGGTGAATGGTCATCCAATAGTCTGCCACCATCCACGTCACGATAAGGTTGGCAGGACATAGAATGTTTTCCACTTGATTTGTCATCTGGAGATGTAGCCGGTCTTCTTTTCCCATTGGTGGCTATTGCTATTTCTTTTCCCAAGAGACTCTGTGAATCCAATTTCACCTACAATTGAACAAATCAAACAAGTAAGTTAAGGAATTAAACAATAAATGGAAATCAAATTAAGAAACTAAAAAATGAAGAACAGTAGAACGATGAATTCCCCTTTTATTAGGCTCGGAAATCTGATCCACCACCACAAAGGCAACACCAAATCTGGAGAAAATTTGAAGGGCACACCAAGCACGAAGAACAGGGGCAGATTTCAGAATAGCACAAAGCAAGACTGATTTTTGGTGTGTATTAAATGAGGACTAAGGACTCTTTTTTATAGGCAGGAAATCACGAACGAATTCCAGGAAAATCTCTTCAAGATAGAGTTCAAAGATAATGATAGGAGTTTCAAACCTTGAAGAAGATAAGAGATAGGNNNTTTCCTCCAAATACCCAATAAGATTTGGGCTACAAACATTTGTGGTGTGGATTTCAACACTCTTTAATCCCAAGCTTATAGCCTATGAAGTTAAATGGGCCATGATTTTTCATCATTGTCTAGGGATTATTTGGACATCACAAAAAAATACCCAACAGACTCCTCTGAATTCGCTTCTGATCGACTCTTCTGGTACCCATGATTCCTATCCCCTTCAGTTACAGAGCTTTCACGTGGCAATTCTTCCTTGTGACTTGTAGTCACCCTTGCTTCTTGTTCCTTGTGTTCTTGACTATTACCTAGATTCCTACCATCACCCTGGTGCACAGGATATTCATCAAGATTATTACGTTTCCATGGAGCATCAGAGACATTCTCTAATCTCTAACTGATGTTCCTGCAAGGATGACTTCTATTGATCCTTGGACAAGTGCCCATGTTGCTGAGCAATATCCTTTTGTTTAGGTGTCCAATCTGGATGACTCCAAAGGTATAGTGGTGGTGCATTCAAATTCCAATTCTCCATTTGTTTGTTATTTACATCAACGGATCCGGGCAGATAAAACGACTGCAACCATGAAAATTTGGGCAGTCGATTTTTTCAATTGCGGATTAAATTTCAAGTGCATCAATTGTACCAAAATATAAATTTGGGCAACAAGAATGTGATCCTTAAAAATTGTTAAGAGGAGGTTCAACAATATTAGCTCAAGATTGACAAAAATGTGCACAAATAAGAACTAAACAAAGTACTGAAAAAGTAAACTTGATTAATCGTTGTCCTAAAGCAATAACCCAAATTACTCCAATGCCTCAGTCACTGAAACGACCATCGTTTAGAATAGAACACAACCAAGGTAAAAAAAAATGAACAGATCTAGACACTGAGACAGTAACAACTAAAGATCACAGTAAATTAGCATTCACTCAAGAACTTGTTCACACAAGAACATCGCATTCAACTCAAAATAGAAATCACTCAAGATTACAACATTTGAGAGAAACCACAAATCAAAAGAGAATTTTGATTTTTCAAAGAGAAGGAGAGTCAAGAGCTTGAACGGAGCAGATGAAGAGAAATCAGAGAGAGTGCACAGTTCCTACCCTAGGAGGCCTTTTAAATGAGTCACCCAAAGGTATTCATCCAATGATTTTGGAGATGACACTTGGCGACATCTGGAGCATCCATTTAAATAAGGAGAAACACGGCTTTACTAACTCAAACACGACTTTGCACCAATTAAACAATCAAAGAATCAGCCAACTAGTCAACATTCCAATCAGCAGGTTAATTGGCATCATTGTGCCAACCTTTCAAAAATGTTATAACACACACAAGTATTGACCAAAAAAGTCTTTAGGATGTATTACAGGGAGGAGTACCTTATCATGTTTCCACGGCAGGTGGTGCAGCCTAGAAAGGTTGCCAGTCGAAAAAATGATCAATAAAAAAAGTAAAATGTATTTTCAGAAGATATGGTGTTTATTGATTTATTCACAGTTTAAGCTCAGATGATGCACAGAGTCAATCAAACCGTCCAAATAACACCATTGCAGAAGAAAATAAGTAGAATATAAAGTCTAGAGCGGTTTATCATGGCTAGATATAAACATCCACGCTCCAAAAAGAACCAAGGACTTTAGGTCATTTGTCATTGTCTAAACAGGTGAAAAAGTGGTCTGTGAGAGCATGATTTTGTTGTTTAAACACAGTAATGGATATCCAATCAAGAGGGCGTTGAGTTTATCTACTTCTGTTTATGAAATGATTAATATCAGTTAAGAATCATTTGTTCTAATGAGAGTTAAAACTTGAAAAGCAGCTACAGATAATTTTTAATTGAGAGTTTTTTTCATGTACTTGTATCATTTTTTACTTTTTGTTAAACTTTTTTCTACCAATAAAATAGATTTCAAGTCAACATCATGAATACTCAGTATTAATGAAGATAATATAAAAAGTATTGGGTCCCGTAATATTTAGCATATCACTGTTCCAAGGATGCCAAACCTAAACCTACATAAACTTAAATTTTTTAGTCAAATTCAAACATTAGTTTCAGTTATGCGGTGCATTTCTTGATAAATATTATTCCTAATATTTATTATACATATGTTAATTTTTCTGTATTCTAAATATATTATGAGTCTCTCAACACTACAACAAGCAATTAATTATCTAATTGGTGGACAATCAATTAAATAATGTAATAGATATGCAAAATTAATTAAGAAACACAAGGAATAAACTAAATTAGTAGTTTTGAATTAAAACAAATAAACAATAGAATTCATCTTCATCCAATAAAAAAAGTGATCTACCTTAACATATTTTTAAATAAATTACAAGAAGAATAATAGAAAAATATCATTCAAATCATGAAAATAATTCAAAAGATGTTGATCTTCAAGTTCTGGGTTGAATTCTTCAAAATTTTTGATATAATTTACATTCAATTTCTTGTTAGGGTTTGATCTTCTCTCTCAAAATATAGTAATTGACATCTTTTTTTGATGAATTTGATGAACTATTGTGTATGAAGAGGCTAGAGGGTTTTTTTTTTTTCAATGTGTAGCCATTGTGTTGTATTTATAAGAGACAGAGACAGGTCAAAATCGTGTCCAATTTGGGTTCCAAAAGAGTCTGAGTCTTGAGAGGAAACTTCTAATTCATCTGTGAAAATGGCCTACGCGCGCACAGGCATAACCATCGCTCACGTGCCCCATTGATCCAAATGGCTCTCTGTTGAAAATTTTGGTGTCTTGCATGCGTGCTAGAATTGGCCCCTGCACCGTTACTTCGTGTTTGTGCACAACGCGCGCCGGACGAGGCTGCACCGTCTTGTGGAGGCTGACTGTCGGCGAAGAGCGAGGAGATCAGAGAGTGGAGAAGAGAGAAGGTAGAGAGAGTGATGGAGATAAGAAGGTAGAGAGTGAGAATAGAGAGAGGAGAGAATGACGAGGAAAATTAAAATGAAATTGATTAGGATTTGAGAAGAAAATTGTATATTTAATATTTAAAATAAAATGTCTGATTTTTGAAAAGTTAAACCTTTAATCTGATTTTTGAAATTGAACCCCTGTTTGATACACATTAAAATTTTCATTCTCATTTTTCTACTCATTTTCAACCATACATTTTTCAATAAAATAATATTTTCTTTCACATCAATAACTTTCCCTTCTTTTTCAACCACAAATTCTCCATCAATCTACTATTTCAGAATACATTCTTCCAAAGTAATGTGGCTCAAACACATCCTGAATCTTTAAAAATCTGGTTTTGTGTAATTTCCTCTAATTTGATTGATTAACAACCGAAGGAAAATGGCTTTCACATGCCCACCTGAATATATTCTCACAATTTCACGGGCTGAAATAAGAGCAAATTAATTAATACCAGCATCTCTAAAAGGGTTAAAAAACAAAGTACAGTCCAATAATCTGACCTAATTGCCAAACTGGACTCACATGTCCAATCTCAAGAAATTGTATATATAAGTTAGCTAGAAGCAAAACATATTGTCCAATAATTGCAGCGAAATCAAGATGGTTAAGGCAAACAGAGTTATTTTTCTTGTGCTTGTGGCATTAATGTTCATTGCAACAGTTAATGGCGATACTACCTCGACCATCTGCAAGGTAAAAGTTTCTGAGATAGCCAAATGTCTTCCGGCAATAACCGGAAAATCACCTTCAAAACCGACTAAAAGTTGCTGCGCTGCAATTCGCAAAGCCGACTTACATTGCCTGTGCAACTACAAGTCTGAATTTGCCAAGTTTGGGGATCCTGCAAAGGCTAT